AGGGGACGCTTGAAGAGAGGACTGAGCTGTACTTAGAGACAGTGTTCGTGTCCACAATAAAGGCTCTTAATAAATTGCTATTGACGAATGTGTGGAGTTTTTTTAATGATTGTTTGTACGTGTCCACTACTGCCAACGCAGCATCATCAAACAGCTTTCGGACTGCAAATGGCACTCATCAAATTAAAGGAGTTTTATATGGTTATGTCCATGAGACGTAGCGCGTGCGTGTGTATGTGGTGTGTACGTGTGTTTTAATTTGTTGTGTGTATGTGTGGTTATCCCACCTGCTTTACCAACCTAAATATCACTCACCAGTCATGAGTGACATCTGAACCGGTCTTAAACCTCTGCTTAGGCTGGGCTGACTGCCTTAAATTAGTATCCGTTGCGGTTTGTAAATATCAGCAGTGGGCAGACAATAATGTGGCCAGGTGTGATGCCAGCCACATCGTTGCTTGTGTGTGTGTGTACGTGCGTGCATGTGTCTTTGTGGGTAGCAGTAGCGTAGCGGTTAGCGCTGCGAACCCGACGACCCGAGTTTCGAAACCCACTCAAGGCCAATGCCAGTGGCGATCATCTGAACCGGTCCTGAGCATCACCTAGGTCAACTCGGCCTCAAATGAGTACCTGGTGTTGCGTGTAAGCATTGCCACTGGGGAGATAAAAGGCGGCCGGGCGTGGTACTGGCTATCCAGTTCTCCATGTGCCACGCCGGCCTTTATAGGGTGGTCGCTAACAGCATTTGCCCCAAAAGTTTGTTTAGGCTACATCGGGGGGGGATATTTGTCCTTGTGGGCATCACGTGATTTTTTTGTTGTTGAAGGGGGTGGCCACTTAAATGAAAGCCCATGATGGAAAGAAACAAAAAGCGCGGGGTTACTGCAAAGGTTACGGCAAACAAGCGAGGCGCGGTATCTAACTTGAAACAGGCGCCGCAGGGGAAAATAAATCTGGAAAATCGCCACCAGTTGCCAAGCTACCTGCATTGATTTCGGGGGGGAGGGCCCGCCTACGTTGAAAACTCCGTGGCCGTTCTCATCTTGAGAAATATCAAAAAATAAAAACTGCAACTAAAATCCAGCAGGCTCTTACAAATTACCATCTCCCGGACGCGTTCGAATACTTTGCGGCGCGGACTGATAGGGCCCTGGTAATGTGGCGAGCATGCGAACACGGCGGGGCGCTTTGTTCCAGGGGTCCCAGTTGCTCTCGCGTCGAGTTTATAAATGACCACGCCACGCTGGGCTTCGTGGGATCTCCTGCGCTCGTACAAAGGAGGGGTGGGGGGGGGCGGACGGGAGGGGGGGGGAGAGGGTGCAAATTTGCGTACGTTGTGGCAGGATGAAAATCGCACAGACTTCAGCCGAATGCGTGATCTGCATTTTGACGTGGTTGGCTATGTGCCAGGTCATAGTGTGTGTATTGTGTTTAGCCGGATAGAGGGGGAGATAAATGGGCACGGCATTGGCCAGAGAAGAGGTGGAATGATGTGGTGCAGAAAGATATGGAGCCGATTTAGACTTGCAAATGACTGGTACCTGCAGTGTGAAGATCGGCCTCTGCGGAGTAGGAAGCTCGTGAAGGACGCTACTGGGTAGTTGGAGGCACTCGCTCTCAACAACAGCGGGAGGCAGATGAGTGATACTCACAACAATGAGCAGCGAGCCTCTGCGCTATGAAATGATTCGCGGGCACGGACAACATCAGTGCTGAGTGATATCTGAACCGGTTTTGGGCCTCTCCAACCAATTACCAACCAGCACTGAACAGCGTGGTAAAGTATGGTCAAACAGCAAGGGTGGTAAATGAAAACAATAAAAAAAATGTGTTAATTTGCTTTCAACATCGTTGACATGTTGATGCGTTGAGCCTGTAATTTATGATGTACGTACGGATAGTGCTCCCGAGGGGAAACAGGCTTGTATTTCAGTCGGCTCACCTCGGCTCACCTCATCACGAACATGCTCTCCGCGACTTTGACTCTCAATTAATCGCACCTGGGACTCTACACGACTAATGCATCGAGATGCGGAGAAAAATAAAGTGGAGAGATAAAGTGATAAGATTAAGTGATAAGATGAAGATAAGTCCATTTAGAAACTATCATTTAATTCTTAAATATATATTTTTGTATTTTTTCCTTTATGTTTATTATCACCAATTTGCATTGTGTTATGATTAATTTGCCGTTTTCAATAGCTTATTTATGTACCTATTCACGGTGCTTCTTTAGCAAAAAAAAAAATTCTAGGTTTTCTGTAGGCCAATATCATTAGCCGGCGAAATTTGCTATTCACGAGCATCTCCCTGACGTATCCCCTTACGAATAACGAGGAAATACGGCGTAAAGGTCATCAATGAATTGATTGATGACTGACATGCCCTATTATAACCGTGACTCGATTTGAATGTTATTGTGAGGCCACAGGCAGTGCTCCGGGCGTGAATCGGTCGCACTCCTTCATCTGTTCTCCCGTCTGGAGCAAAACGACATTCGCGGTGAAACGAGCTGCATGCACGTCGGAGGTCGAGAGGTCACGCCTCCGATGAGCGCGGTTGGCTGCGCACGGTGCGAAAGAAATTCAACGTACGCGCGTGCATGCGTCGCAGGCACAATGCCTGTTGCGATTCACGACGCCGCATAATTTGGAATAATAATAATGCCCTTCACCCAGGAGAGCCTCAATAATGAGTCTCAGGATGCTTCGTCAGGAGGGTCCTGCTACATTTAGTCCACGGGGCAGAGCAGAAATGGGCTACCACCTAAGGTAGCAAAATGTAAATCACACCAATGTATTAAATCGGCCAATAAGAGTGAATGATTTGAAGACGCCATCATTCGCTGTACTTAAATTGGAACCACTAAACTCCCGTGCCACCTCAGGGTAGTATCGCTAAATTGAAATTTATCATATTCTTAGCTCTTTCGGTAAAGTCACGTTGCAGGGAAAACAATAAAATAATCAAATATATATAAAACAATAAAAATTCTCACGACGTTTCGACCATAACACAAACGGTCATCATCAGGTGTGAAAAAACAACTTCTTTCAAATGTTTCTTGCCGTTGGTATTTCACACCTGATGATGACCGTTTGTGTTATGGTCGAAACGTCGTGAGAATTTTTATTGTTTTATATATATATTTTCTTATTTTATTGTTTTCCCTTCAACGTGACTTTACCGAAAGAGCTAAGAATATGAATTACTGCAGTCACGAAAGCTTTAAATCAAAAATTTAAATTTATCAATAAAAATTTATCGGAACGCCACGGTGGTGAGATGTTACCTGCCTCGCCTGGTGTGCAGGAGATCGTGGGTTCGATTCTGATCCTGACGCCCGTTTTCGTGTCTCTCTCCCCGTGCCCGCGTGGAATTTTTCTCCGGGTCCTCCGGTTTTTCCCCTCCACATTTAGAAAATGCATTTAGATTATTTGGCTGCTACAAATTTCCACGTGAAAATCCACTTCGTTGGGCTATCATTTGTGTCCAGGTCGCTTCTGAAAAAAAAAAGAGCTACGTAGCTCAGTGGGGCCTTACCTGGTCAAAGTTAAAAAATATATATTTATATAGTTTATTCATTTAGAAATATGTGGTCTGAGCTTATGGACAAAAACAAATGTGGACGTTTGACAAAGCATCATCGATGCGCGTGAGGAATCCCGAAAAGAACCCGGCAAACACTCGCCACGCATACGGGGTAAGGGGGGGGGGGAGACAGGCAAGCGATCGTGCGGGTCTGGGGGTGTCACGGCAAGGAAAGGGTTGGGAATCTCCGGTGCATCGTCCGATCCATGCCCAGCGATGGGGGGGAGTGGGGGTGGGGGGGGGGTGCGCATTGGATTTACCGAGACGTCTGAAATGTGCTCGTAGATCAGCGGGCGGGGGGAGTCCATTGGTTGGCGAATAAAGATGGACAGTTTGTGCGCGTGCTCGCGACCGCCGCACAACAACCAAAAAAGGGAGACGGGGGGGGGGGGCAGCGTCTTCACGGCCCTCCTCCCAGGGGCAATTTGTCAACGATGCCACCACGAGGGGTGGGGGGGGGGGGGGCGGTGTACGGTGGGGGACTCGCGGCACGTCGCTGGTCAGAGATTGACAGTGCACATCATGGCCCACCCACCGACTCCCCCGGGCACAATAAATTTGCCACCACTTTGTGAGAAGTGAAGAGTAGTCGGTGGCTTGATTGACTGCCGCAACGCCCCCCGCCCCCCGCCCCCCGCCCCCCGCCATAGAAATGTGGAATTTTTTTTTACTACTTGCTCAGTTGCTCAGGGCATTTAAGAGGGAGACACGCTCTAAAACCCAAAAAGATGACGTCTTGGTATAAGCCGCAGCTTACTGGCGATGCAGACTACCGAAAAGTAGTGAGCACGGGATCACAGAGGGTACCCGACCCGATTAAATGCCACTTCCTCCCCCCCCCCATCCCAGCCCCAACCCTTTCCTGACCCACGCTGAACGGCTCGGTGAAGTATGGTGCAACAATCCCCGTGACCGGCAAAGCCGTGCGGGGGCATTTACCCAGCGGTGGATAGACGCACGTTCATCAACGGCTGTAGCCTCACAAAACGAGGCGCGCATAGCAGTTGACGTTTTCGGGTAGGGGACCGTTCTTCGTAGAACATAGAGACGCTACGCCAATTAAGCACAAAGGTGGTCTCTTGACGCGTCGCTGTGTAATTGTGGATTTTTCATTTTAAAGCCGCGGTGTTGTTGACGAACGTGTTGCGTTTTTCGATGTTCGTGCTGGTGCGCCACTGCCAATGCAGCGTGTGTTACATCATAATTTTATGTCGGTAGACAGGAAAAAAAATTGTAATAAGTTTTTTTGCGTATGAATGCATACAGCATATCACAGATAAGTGTAACACACGTTATGTACGTCTGTACACTCGCCCGCACTGCCTATTAATGCTGTATTGCGATGTTTCAAAACGTCATCCCTTCAATGTTGATTTCTCACAAATCGGTACCAATTTTATCTGCCCCAGAGGGATGATGGGCTGAGACGGCTGCCGACGGAGGATTCAACACACAAACCTGCCAACTGTGAGTCGATCGCACTGCTCACAACACCACTCCCCTGGACAATTATACAGTGAGGGAAAAAAGTATTTGATCTCCTGCTGATTTTGTACGTTTGTCCACTGACAAAGAAAAGATCAGTCATAATTTTAATGGTATGTTTATTTGAACAGTGAGAGACAGAATGACAACAACAAAATCCAGAAAAACGCATGTCAAAAATGTTATAAATTGATTTGCATTTTAATGAGGGAAATAAGTATTTGACCACTCTGCAAAACATGACTTAGTACTTGGTGGCAAAACCCTTGTTGGCAATCACAGAGGTCAGACGTTTCTTGTAGTTTGCCACCAGGTTTGCACACATCTCATGAGGGATTTTGTCCCACTCCTCTTTGCAGATCTTCTCCAAGTCATTAAGGTTTCGAGGCTGACGTTTGGCAACTCGAACCTTCAGCTCCCTCCCCAGATTTTCTATGGGATTGAGGTCTGGAGACTAGCTAAGCCACTCCAGGACCTTAATGTGCTTCTTCTTGAGCCACTCCTTTGTTGCCTTGGCCGTGTGTTTTGGGTCATTGTCATGCTGGAATACCCATCCACGACCCATTTTCAATGCCCTGGCTGAGGGAAGGAGGTTCTCACCCAAGATTTGACGGTGCATGGCCCGTCCATCGTCCCTTTGATGCGGTGAAGTTGTCCTGTCCTCTTAGCAGAAAAACACCCCAAAGCATAATGTTTCCACCTCCATGTTTGACGGTGAGGATGGTGTTCTTGGGGTCATAGGCAGCATTCCTCCTCCTCCAAACACGGCGAGTTGAGTTGATGCCAAAGAGCTCCATTTTGGTCTCATCTGGCCACAACACTTTCACCCAGTTGTCCTCTGAATCATTCAGATGTTCATTGGCAAACTTAAGACGGACATGTATATGTGCTTTCTTGAGCAGTGAGATCTTGCGGGCGCTGCAGGATTTCAGTCCTTCACGGCGTAGTGTGTCACCAATTTTTTTCTTGTTGACTATGGTCCCAGCTGCCTTGATATCATTAACAAGATCCTCCCGTGTAGTTCTGGGCTGATTCCTCACCGTTCTCATGATCATTGCAACTCCACGAGGTGAGATCTTGCATGGAGCCCCAGGCCGAGGGAGATTGACAGTTCTTTTGTGTTTCTTCCATTTGCGAATCATCTCACCAACTGTTGTCACCTTCTCACCAAGCTGCTTGGCAATGGTCTTGTAGCCCATTCCAGACTTGTGTAGGTCTACAATCTTGTCCCTGACATCCTTGGAGAGCTATTTGGTCTTGATCATGGTGGAGAGTTTGGAATCTGATTGATTGATTGCTTCTGTGGACAGGTGTCTTTTATACAGGTAACAATATGAGATTAGGAGCACTCCCTTTAAGAGTGTGCTCCTAATCTCAGCTGGTTACCTGTATAAAAGACACCTGGGAGCCAGAAATCTTTCTGATTGAGAGGGGGTCAAATACTTACTTCCCTCATTTAAATGCAAATCAATTTATAACATTTTTGACATGCGTTTTTCTGGATTTTTGTTGTTATTCTGTCTCTCACTGTTCAAATAAACCTACCATTAAAATTATAGACTGATCATTTCTTTGTGAGTGGGCAAACGTACAAAATCAGCAGGGGATTAAATACTTTTTTCCCTCAACTGTAACAACATCATCAACAATATCATCCCTCCTCGTCCAGGATAACTCAAGTATTGAAACTGTACGTCTATGAAAATGCGATCATTAACAAATATATATGTAAATATATGCTTCAAAGATACGGGGGGCAACCGTTGTGGGTAACTCCCATCTCTTCGCAGACATCTGGGTCAGCGTGGAAGAGTAGGCCAAAAGCACGATGTAGCGCTCCCTCTAGCGGATGCCCTTCTGCCAGCAGTGACCAGAGCCGAGCAATTTCGGTTCGGCACATTCACCTTTTACAAAATAGCAATCATAATGTATTTAACGAGGATGAAAAAGCATAAACCGTCATTTATTTAACCTCACCCGAACGTTGGAATATCCTTTTCACGCACGAGATCCGGAAAAAAGATATGCACGTGTTTGCGTGTACGTTGAACTTCCTTCGCATCGCCGAGCACGTCCGTAGCCAGCCGTGCCAATCGGAGGTGCGGAGAGATACGACTCGAGGGCCGGCCGCGTGAGCTCAGCAGCGTAGCGCTGATATTCGCAACGCGAGCGTGTGCCAAATAAGCTATTTCACGCTCATTAGTGGAGCCATTACACGGAAAGCTTCGTATTTATTAAGTCATGATTCATGAAAGTGATAAAAGTCTGCTATAATTAAGTCCCACGGGTATAATATGCAAAGTGGATATAGATTAATATTTTTGCTTGCAATGTCTCAACGTGCATGGAAAATATACGTTACGAATCCTGTTACATCGCAGAACCGGGAGAGATGGCGACTGCTTGGGAAGGCCTTCATCCAGCAGTGGACTGATCATGGCCTGATAATTATGATAATTACACATACGAGTCAACGATTCACTCATAAAATTAGTACCACTTCATAGGAACGTTAACGTGAAGTGAACAGTGGTTGTCTTATGGATATACTGGCCTCGGCCACAGAAATATGGAATTTGAAATATTGGCTCGAGGGCAGGTCAAAGGTGAGCGTCGCTCCGTACTTTTTTGAGGAGAGTAACCAAATACTGAAAACTAAAAATTAGTATTTTACTGGGTATGGCCCACTGAGCTATATAGCTCTTTTTCAGAAGCAACCTGGCCTCAAATAAAAGTTCAACGAAGTGGCTTATCACGTGGAAATGTTATAGCAGCCAAATATTCTAAACGCGTGTTTCTAAAGGTGTAGGGAAAAACCGGAGAAGCCGGAGAAAATTTCACGCGACCGCGGGGAGAGATACATGCAGACTCCAAATATACAACAGGCATCAGGATCATGACCTTCTGCATTGCAGGCGAGGCAGTTAACAACTCGCCACCGGTCTCCCGACACTACTAAGCCTGTCATGGAGGTCGGTTGACCATACTTCACCACACTGACCAGTGAATGTGTCGGGCACGTCAAGAGGTGATCCCCACACGATTATTTGGAACCGCCGCACGTGGCCATGGCCCAGCGGCTCTGCGAAGTGAAGCCCTCATAATCCGCGCACAGAGCCGGGCGAGCCCTGATTGGCTGAGCGAGGCAGCCACCACTCTAGAGCCAACGGGTGTTGGCCCAACGTGATTGGCTGGCGGATTCCAGTGGGGGGTGAAAAGGTGGGAGAACCCGGAAATGGTATCTCAAAAGGGGAATAAGATTCTGAGAGTGGGGTCGCGAGTGGGAATTTAAGGAACGGTATACAACCGAAGTTCGGGGCTCTTGCGTCCTGTCTCCCTCCGTGTTGTGCACAACAAACTAAGACCGAGTTGATGCTGCCCGCATGTGCTGGATTCCTTTTCTGTGAGGCTCTTCAAATGGGAGACCCCCAGGACTGGTTAAGGAATCACTTGCAAATCTTGTTTAGCCGTGGCTGGGAGTCGAACTCTGGTAGCTGGGTTCACAGCACAGTGAATTCAGAGCTGCAGCGTCGTTCCACGGTGGCGAGATGTTATCTTTCTCACCCGGTGCACGGGAGATCGTGGTGTTCGATCCCGACCCTGACGCCTGTATATTTGGAGTTTGCATGTTTTCCCTGTGGTCGCATGAACATTTCTCAACATTCAGAAACATGTGTTTAGAGTATTTGGCTGCTATGAATTTCCACGTGATAAGCCACTTCGTTGAGATATCATTTGTGGCCAGGTCGCTTCAGGAAAAAATCTATATAGCTCAGTGGGCATTACCTGGTAAAATACTCCAACATTTTTGTTTTACTTATTGATCATTTTCTAAGCCAGAAGTCCCATTGCTGCATGGGATCGACTGCTCGGATTTTCTCTCTCCGTATGCTTCTATTCTTTGCATCTTCTCTCGTAACATTCACTGTCCTTACATAGAGATCCATAGAGTTACAGAGACTTACAGAGACTTACAGAGACCCACAGACCCACATTCACTCTGCTCATATCGTGTTCGACCGCATCCTCTCATATCACCCTCGGTCTCCCTTCACTAGCTTCTGCCCTCAACCAATGACATTTCCATAGCCCTTCTAATCTATGAGTCTCTGTATGAGTCTATGTTGTCTGTGTAAGTCTCAGGGTTTCTATGTGAGCCTGTGGACCTCTTGTGAGCCAACATTGTTGAAATATGAATATCTATGTGGGTCTACGGGTCCCATGGCCCTTATCATCGCACCATCGAAGCCTCCCCTCCCTGTCCTCGAGAAAATTTGGGACCTCTGCTCAGTCTCTAGCTTTCCCGCACCTCCGATTTAGCACTGTTGGCTACGTACGGTGCGAAAGAAGTTCAAAATACATATGCACATCTTCTACATTTCTCCTCTCCCTCGGAAGTATTTCCAACATCCATTTTAACATTCTTATATCTATCTTACCAACTACCTGTTAACATTGTTCCGTAAAAAAAACGTACGTACACACACCGTATGGAATGAAATTTTGCGATAAAATATAAAACTAGGGCAATGTGGACTAAGCTATCAGTTGGGTCAACAGTGAGGTCGCTGGCGTGAGGTGTTCACGGTTGGTAAATAGTTGAGACCAGAAAAAAATCTTTGCTTTTGAAAAGGGTCCCGTATTTACACAATTCCTCAAGTCAAATGGCAGGAGCTGGTTAAGCGGTAATGAACTCCCGGCGAGAAGACAAACACGGCTGAAGTCCTTCCACACGCGGGGGCACCGCGCGGGCCGTGCCTTTGGAAGGGATGGACGGTGCACGAGACGGCGCGCGGTTGAAAGGGGTGGGCCGTCTGAACTCTCTCGCGAGCCCACGTCGTCAGAACGTCAATTTCGAGTCTCGAAAAAGACAAAGATCCCCCGTATAGCCAGAAATAGACTGTTGGGGCAAGTGCTGTTAGCGAGCACCTATGAAGGCCGGAACGGCACACGAGGGGTTGGGTGGCCAGCACCACGCCCGG